CATAATTTTCCAATCATTAAATGGACCTTTTTAGGGTAAACTCCACGATTTTGTAACTTCTATATCCAAATATGTTTCCTACAATGTACTGCGGCGTTGTGAAAAGTTCTATCTCAAGTTCCGTAAATCCGCCTTTGGTTGCTAATTTATCTTAAAACAGCGCAAGTTTGTTCCCACCTATTGTAGATAAATAATACCCGTTTTTTTGTGTGAACAGTGGTCATGTGACCTCTCACAGTCTAAATTGTTTTCTCCCCAGAATCGTGGTCCATGCTTCTCCGCGAAGTTCCGCAACATTTTGGCCGTACGGTGAGAAATCAAAACATAGCTCTACTCGCAAAATGGGCAATGCAAACCCAAGACAATATTATAACATACGTAAGAAAGGGTATAAGAACGAATGAAAATCGAGGAAAACAATGCAAAACCCACGGGAAATATAGAACAGTGGCGAACATGCAGTCCAAATCAAAAGTATATATATTTAGGCCTTTTACAGACCTGGGTAACCCCCCCCCACCCCCCAAGGGTCTGGAAAATAGGTATTTTACAGGAAATGTCGCGGAATAGCATCATCCCTGACATCGATAGAGATAATTGTTTGGCATCCCGGAAAATTTTCTCAGCTATCCCACTCGCCAAACATCCCTTTTAAAAGGCACACATACTATCACGGACGTACAGATGCATATCATTCCCGTCATTGCCACTGGAAGATTCAAATTCTTTCTCGATGTTTTAGTACAAGATTCACTTTTAGTTCCGTTTCAGCCTTCTCAGTACGGCCTCTTACAATGATATTACAGCATTTGTCTCCTAACCTAGGTGGCTCCTGGGCGCAATCTTCATTCCAATGCTTTGTGACAATAACCAGAGGCCTGGAGTCTATGCATCACTTGACAGTCGACTCAGTTCTAAACCGGAAAGACTATTCCTTCCGTTTACCAGTAGATCGTTTTTGTAGTTCTTATCACAAAACTACCAGAATCAGGGAGGCACCATAAAACGTCAAACAGCTTTAAGCATTATAAATACTCTAATCTGCAGATTGTATTTATTTTTCTTACTCTGTGAACGAAATCACACTTTTCTAACTTCACACAGATTACCATGAAACCAATTTTCCCATGCAACTCCTAAAATCTTACAACTCATCCATCTTTTTTCCTATACCATCCGCATCTTGCTCCAAGGTTTCATGGCAATGTCTTGTACGCGAGTCAGCCACTATTTCCTATCACCAAACTACATTGCTCATCATCTAACATTATCTACAGAAACCAAATCGGATTTCCTGCTCAACGTTTCCGCTCGTTAACATTGTCTTGGTTTTCACTATATTTTTGAAGCATTTTTAGTTATAACATGTTCCTAGGTTTTCACTGTATTTTTCTAACATGCTACATGCCTCCTAGCATGTTCACGCGTGTCCTCCATGTTGTACTGTTTTCTACATCGTTTCCTCTAGTTGTTACAAGCATTTCCTAGCTTGTACACCGTTTTCCTAATATTGTCACAACTTTTCTTCCAGTTTCCACTGCTTTTTCTACCGTTTCCTGTGGTTACTTTCTTCTCTTTTGTAAGTTTTCACTGTGTTTTGTCCAGTTTTTTTTATTACATGCTTCCTACCATTTTCACCGCTTTCCTCTATGGCTTTTTGTACCATTTCCTCTCGTTTCCTGCATTTCATGCATTTTCAATATATTTTTCAAAGAGTTTTACCCGTCTCCTTCAGTTTCCGATCGTTTTTGCACCATTTCCTCTGGTTGTTATCGCATTTTCCTGCACTTTCACTGTATTTTTCCAGCATGTTTACTGCATCGTCGTTTGTTCCTAGCAGTCGCTCCGGTTTCCTCCATGTTCCAACAGATTTTGCACCCTTTATTCTGGTTGTTATCACATTTTCCTGCCAGGTTGTTATCACATATTCCTTCACTGTATCTTTCCAGCATTTTCCAGTGGATTTTGCACGATTTCCTCTGATTGTTATCATGTTTTCCTGCAGTTTCTATATCCTCTTCGTGGGTTTTCAGTCTATTCATGCATTTTTAATCTATGTTTCCAAGATTTTTACCCGTCTCCTTTTTGCACCATTTCCTCTGGTTTGCTGCATTTTCAATGTATTTTTCCAAGAGTTTTACCCGTCTCCTTGATTCTTCCGATCGTTTTTGCACCATTTCCTCTGGTTGTTATCGCATTTTCCTTGACTTTCACTGTCTTTTTCCAACATGTTTACTGCATCGTCATAGTTTGTTCCTAGCAGTTGCTCCGGTTTCCTCCATGTTCCAACAGATTTTGCATGGTTTGTTCCTAGCATTTTCCTCTGGTCGTTATCATGTTTTCCTCAAGTTTCATTGTATTTTCCAATACATCCTCTTCGTGGGTTTTCAATATGTTTTGTCCAGCATTTTTTTACTACATGTTTCCTATCATTTTCACCTCTTTCCTCCATAGGTTTTTGCACCATTTCCTCTAGTTTCCTGCATTTTCATACCTTTTCAATATTAATATTAATCCAAGAGTTTTACCTGTCTCCTTCATTTTCCGATCCTTTTTGCACCATTTCCTCTCGTTGTTATCACATTTTCCCTGTATTTTTCCAGC